GTTGTTGTGACCGAAATGAGGGACCCAACACTTGGCTTTATTCAGCCTCAAGCAATTGGCCTTGGCCTATCAATCCAGTCTGTCCAGGTCCCTCTGTAGAGTCTTCCTCTAGCAGACTGACACTCAAACCCAGTTTGGTGTCATCTGCGAATTTACTGAGGGTGCACTCAATCCCCTCATCCAGATCATTGATAAAGATATTGAACAAGACTGGCCCCAAAATTGTGCCCTGAGAGACACCACTGGTGACTGGCCCCAGCCAAATTTGACCCCATTTACCACAACTCTATGGGCCCAGCCAAGCAGCCAGTTTTTTACCCAGTGAAAAGTACACTTGCGTATGCCATGATTTGCCAGCTTCTCCAGGAGAATGATGTGGGAGACGGTGTCAAAGGCCTTACCAAAATCCAGGTTGAAAATGTCCACAGCCTTCCCCTCATCCAAAATGTGGGTCACGTGGTCATAGAAGGAAATCAAGTTGGCCAAGCGAGACCTCCCTTTAATAAACCTGTGCTGGTTGGCTCTGATCCCCTGACTCTTGCACTTGCTGTATGAGCTCACTCAAGACGAGCCTCTTCATCACCTTTCCTAGTACCGAGGTCAGACTGACAGGCCTGTAGTTCCCTGAATCTTCCTTATGGCCCCTCTTGTAAATACGCTCTGTTTCTTTCACCAGGAATCTCAGAGTCCTGAGTTTCTGCTTTAAATAATTTGGGAGGAATAAAATGATTACTACAAGTCTTTCAAAAAGTGATAAGGATGACAATAGTTCTTGTCGTATGAGTCCAGAGAATTGACAGAAACCTGCTGCAAAACACAAAAAGCTTGAAAAAAACCCAACAAACCACTCATACGCTGACATTGGTGGACTAGAGAGTTACAAAATGTTAGTTCCTCTGCCTCTGGGAAGACTTGAAGTCCCTTTGTTATGATGAGGTCACTACTACCAGTCTAGAAAACACCTTTTCCTCAAGATACCAGCAGTTCTGATATAGAGTTTGGTCATGTCCCTGAGTATCTTAATGCTCCCTCATTACAGGAATAACCCTCAGATAAAATGAGCACTATAACTAGTTTTCCATTGTCTGTGTTTAATGAATACTCAGTGCACAGTTCCATAGTACACTTTGCAGTTCTGTCATGCTCATTATCACAGCCAGATCACCCTAAAAGTGAGTTTACCCTTGTTTTACAGGCTGAAATGCATTTACTGGGAGTTCTCACAGAGCTGTATTCCTTTCTACACTTCACTTCCAAGCAGAGAAAAAGCACCCGATATGTTAAATTACTAGAACAGTTTTGGTCCTTGTTTGATTTTAGCTCTTTAGCATTTTCAATTAAATACACATAATCAGATAAGAATTTGAGATTTCTTAGATGTATCATGAAGATTCAAGCCAGTATACTTTCACAGATGAGGCAATAAGAACTCTACATTACAGCATAATTTCACTCACCCTGTTACACTTACTATAGCCCCAAATTGATTTGTTGACCCATTTTTAGAAGCTCACGATAGCCTGGTATCTAGTATATGAAACACAATTATTATTGCAGGCAGACTGTTAACTGTTCTGTATTGAAAATATAGCAATGTGCCATTGAAAAGAAAGGCAAAAAGTGAGATTTCATCCATTGTTTGGAATATGAAGCTGTCACTAACTTAGAGAAGAAACCTTCATGAAAAGGTGTACATTCATACCTGATTTCTGAAAGGAGCAAAGCAGTGAATCACCACGTGCTACTGTCAAAACAATAGACTTACAGTATAAAATCCATTCATTAGAATAAAGTTTTGCATAATAACGTCTCCTGATTACTGAACATACCCCGAAGGTATTGAATTCCCAGCTTTTAACTCCCTGTCCTATTAAAACTTCGTTACACCCCAGATTTGATTTTCCAATCAGTTTTAAGAAATCGCGAAGGAAAGCCAAGCACTGTTACACGTTTTCAGACTAAAAACTGACATATTGCCATTATGACTATTCAATCCTGAGTTTAACAAGTGGAAGCGCCTTCGCTGAAGTCACATTGAAACTGCAATGACAGCGACATCGGTTTCAGACGGGCACACAGGTGCGTTGTTCCACTTAAATACCGAAGCAGACGTACAAAAAAACATCGGCTTGCACACACACACACTGCGAATGCACAAACATCTCTTTGAAAGGCATCAGCTAGGACACCGTGGTCGCTGCAGAGACGTTCGGAGGGTTCGTGTGATTTCGGAGGGAAGTGGCTCGGCCGAGGGATCCAAGCGCGCCCGGGACCACGGGGGGAAGCTGTGTTACTTCCTCGACTTTAACATCGATTTATCCCGAAACAAACCGTTCAAACCACCCTGCTTTTTGCCCTGGCACAGAAAGCACCTTCAAAAGCGCAACATTTAACGCCGGTTTTGCCCATTTAGCGTACGGTATTATTTTAAGTTAGAAGATAAAACGAAACTTTGCCTCTCCCGAGGACTCTGGGGCTCCGCGCCGCGGGGTTTCTGGGGTTGCTTTTCCCTCATTCCT